CCGGTAGCTTAGCTGGTCGAGTGTGCGCTGTACAAAAGTATAGCCAGTGTCAATACATGGTTTTGAATACCACTGAGGCTACTTAACTTTACACGATGTCAAAATAAAACTTTAATCTGTCAAACATCAATTATCAATATTACATGATTGTTAAGACGGAACTTCCAAACCCCATGCAAACGCATGCGAGCATGACATTCGGCCAGGTTGCGCGTCACACCTAGTTTCCTTTCGGAACAGCTGGCTCCTGAGAGAGAATAAGCCGTCTTCGTGGATATCCCGAATCGCCGCTGCCCACGCTCGACGGTCTGCGGCGAGATCAGCGCAAATTGCGATCCTGCTTGACTTCCATTGATGTATGCCGTAGACGGAGCGCAGACCAGGGTTTTCTGTATCCTTGCGTACTGTGTTCAGCCAGATTTTCAGCTGACCACCGTGTCGACAGCGCCACTTCGGGCAGGGAGGTAGTATCAGGGCAGATTTAATCAGGTCGTTATCAGACCTCCCAAGTATATAACCGTACCACTATAGCCACCGCGTTGGCAACCGTACAAAATTAAAACATAGGTTTATAACCGATTCAACTGAGGGTGATCCCTCCATCGAATTCCCAGAATGATTATTAGGCTCCAGTGGTCCAAGATTTCTAATTGTGTACAGTTTCCGACTAAGTGGNACAGCTGCATAGCAAGGTGAAATGGACTCTTGCGGAGAAATTTCGTATTTTCATCTTTAGGCTGATTTCATTTCTACGCTATAGGGAATTCTTCAGCTGTAAAAACGCCTTTCGCGCAGCATCGACGTGCACTTGTACCTCGTCTTTAGCTTGACTGTTAGGGATTATGGTGGAGCTCAGGGAGTTGAAACCTTAGACGGATTCGATCGGCTCGCCGTTTAGTAGTAAAGCCTCTTCGGCATGAGTTACGACTGTTCCAAACGTTTTGGTTTTTGATGTGTTCACCTCTAGATCGATCTCAAAGGTTTGTCGACTGATGCGGTCAACGATTACCTGCTGTTTGGGCAATATCATCAGCGAATTCTACATTGACGAGCCGTAAGTTCGGAGAGATCTGAGATCCCTATTATCCTTCCATCGAAATACCCATTATCCAATCAACGGCAAAGTTGAACAGCATTAGGGACAATGAGCACCCCTGTTGCGCTCCAGATCCTAACTCGAACGCGCATGATCCCTTGCCCTAGATGCGGATTCGGGCACTAGGGTTGGAGTAGTAGGATCTCATGAGGTTGACAAGTTTAACTGGCACATCATCCCCAAAACCCATGCTCTAGAGGGATTCGCGATGTATGGAATCGAATACCGCACGGAAATCAATGAAACAGACTGTTGTGAGTTGTTGAAACTCGTGCCGATGTTCCAAGAGTCAACGTAAAGTGAATATTTGGTCAACGTGTAATCCCTTCTGGTTAGGACGGGTGCACACGTCCCTTGTTGCAGCCAAGCGGTTCAGCATACTTGTGCAAACTAGTGTTCAAATCGTTGGTCGGAACTTGTTTTCTTTCGTGTTGTTTAACGAGAATTTAGTTTGAGCAGCTTCGACGAACCCGATTGATAATTCTAATCTTGCTCTCTCGCGCGCACGCTTGCTACTGTCAGTATAGTTCACCGGATTGCATGTTTTTCAACTCGACCTACGATGTGAAAGCTGACCACAATCTGGAAGAACAATGATCGCTAAACAGTCATTTTATACCGGGTTTCTATCCATTTATGCACGATTTGTCTCTCCTTTTCGGACGTGTCTTTCATTCACTCTTCCTGCTTTCTCCCGGTTTCCGATCATCTCCCAGGTACCATGCGTTATATGGCCCCGGAATTAGTGGTCGGTCGTCGCGGTTATGGTTATCCGGTGGATATTTGGAGTTTCGGTTGTACAGTGGTGGAAATGTTAACTGCGGCAGTGCCGTTTGTTGAAGTGAGTGTTTTATTTCCGTGATTCACTGCAGCTGATGCTTTGTGGAGAGATAGAGAATTAGTGCATATGTGCGCACGATCTCCCCCTTGAGTGTGTATGTGTGTGTGTGTGTGTGTGTGTGTAAATGCGGACATTTTTAGCCTGTGTTGAACTGTTTTCGGAACTCGGTACCATGTTTTCTTTTTCATGCTTTGTCATCCGGCCCTCCTTGCACTGATTCTGGTCCACTATCTGGTTGTCAATGGCTAACCTTGTTTCCCGGTTTCTGTTCGGCATTGAATGCGCTGAATTCCACTCGTTACTCACCGCGTACAGGATCTTCATCTCAACACTCTCGATCGCGGACCTGTTCGATACGGTATCTTGTGTGTTAGGATCTGCCGAATGAATGCTATATTTGTGTCATCCCAAATGATGGCATTTCATGTCTCTCCGTTCTTGCAGTTAGTGTGCCTGAAAGGCTTGTTAAATCAATCCGTTCCTCAATTCGCATGCGTTATATCTGCTACAGTCGGAGTCATCTGACCGGTCCGTGCATTTGTTTGTACAAGCAGTTCCAATATACCATTCCGAGAACAGCTGCAAGAAAATAAACTTGAAGTCAGTTCTTAGTCCGGTTGTGACTTGTTTTGGTTTGTCAAAAGGAAAATATTTTGAGACAGGTCAGAGGACTTGTATACACCAGCAACAGTCCAACTGTTTGACTGAAGCGACGGTCGATGGATGACGCGACCGACACGATCAATCGTGTGTGAATTGTTGAGTAATGCAATAAGTAGTGGGAAAATAGATGTATTTCATTTTCTGGTTGACATATGTTCCACTGATCACCGTTCCTCAATTATCAGTATCCGACTCAGCCCTATTTACAGTATCTCCTCAGGCTAATCGGTATTCACTCATCCTTTTTTTCAGCCTTCATATTCTCTTTTTTTTCACTCATTGTTGCCCTTCGCAACCGCTTGGCCGTGGGCGATCGACGTAACAACACCTTACATCGATACTCCCCCCTCCTCGTTCAGTAGTTCCCCTTTGTCTTACAGATGTGTATATGCAGACTCAGGTTTCAGTCGAAGTATGTTGTGCTCCGTGAACTATACAACCGAAAAACCTATATCGATGTGCCTTGTCTGGACTGTTTCTAACCGACTGTCGTTCCATTGTAAAAAATGCGGTATCCCCGATCGGATAAAACTACAGCTCAGTTGTTGAAATTTACCTTTGCTCTTCTCTGTATACTAGTTAGTGCCAAACGTGCCAAACCGTGAACGAAAACTTAGTAAAAACGAGTCGCGAAGGCTCAATACCCTGGGGAACACTAAACTCATACCCGTATTCATCCATGTATACTCTGGACAATCTGGGGATGATTTATTTAAAGTCCACCACTCACTCTTGGACTCTTCAAAGGGGGACTTTCAACTCACGTTCGAGCGATGCATAAATGAAGCTCATTTTAAATCTGTTTAAGGTGAAACGATCATATGTATATATATGTCAAATTTCAATTTTTATTATCTGAAAAAACTTGCGAAGACTTCGCTTATCAAATCCCACAGGGTGTTTACACTGTGGTTCGGAACACGATTCACAAGTTCACAGTTATTCCATGAAAGTAAAATAGTCATGTAATGTTTTTTACGAGCACAGGAGAATATATTATGTAGTTGGGTGTTGAAACATAATGTTTGCCGGAACATCATCAAGCTGACTCTTGAAAGATATTAATGTTGGCGCACAGACCACGTGAGGTGGTAGAGAGTTCCATTAGCTGCACACTCTGACTGCAAATGAATGGTGTCTACAGTCGAGCGGGCTCTTTTGGAGTGCCAGCTTCAGTGGATGCCCTCTGAGATGAACCTTGGTTGATAGAACCAAAAGAGATCTATATGGATGGTTGGGCTGTTGGAAAATCCGATA